CACACACACACACACACACACACACACACACACACACACACACATCTTCTTCTTCTTCTTCTTCTTTTTCTTTTTTTTTTTCTTTTTTTTTTAATCCAGTGTGATCAACATGATTAGTGGTTGGCTACGATCAATTGTAGCATGTTCTCATCAGTTTAACATCTGATCCGTGGTCCATCAGGTCACGTGAAAGAAAAAAGAAAAAAAACATTAGAGGGTGGTTGGCCAGAGATTTGTTAGATGTATCAGCACAGCAATTAGAAAGGCCAAGGAAGAGAGGAGCAGCAGGAGAACGAGGGAGGAGGAGCGGGAATATAAAGAAGTAGAAGAAAAGAAGAAGAAACGAAGAAGAAGAAGAAGAACGAACGAACAAGAAGAACGAAGAAGAAGAAGGAAGAAAAATCGAGTTGAAGGAAGGAAGAAGAAGAAGGAAGAAAAATCGAGTTGAAGTAGCGAGGCCGAGCGCTATGCGTCCATGCTCTTCAGATGACCTGGTCCAGAACAGCGCCACCTGCACAGACATACAAGCTCAACACACACATTCCCCCCCCACGTGCTTTTGGCCTGGCCTGGTTGTTTCACAAGGACTTATAAAGGGCTCTTGGGGCTTGCCACTCTGCCACACTCCCGCATCCACCTCACGGACCACCTGAGCAACAAGAATTGAATTGAAAAATTGAAAAATTGAAAAATTGAAAAATTGAAAAATTGAAAAATTGAAAAAAAAATTGAAAATTTGAAAAATTGAAAAATTGAAAAATTGAAAAAGCGACGCCAATCGCTGTGCGTCCATGTCTCAGTAACAAACAGTACAGCACCTGCGTCCATGGAGGACAATCAGCTCAAGAAGAAGAAGAATAGTGAAAAAACAGTGGTCATATTAGCTCAAGAAGAAGAAGAAGAAGAAGAGGCAGAAGAGGAAGAAGAAGAAGAAAATGAGAAAGCATTGAAAGAATGCCCCCCCCCCTCGTGTCGCCTGGTTCCACACCAGGACTTATCGAGGGGCATTCCTTACTCCGGGGCCCAAGTCCCATTGGAGCTGCTTAGATTCTTCATCATTTCTGGCCGTCGATCTTCGTAATCTAGGGTCAGAAACCGAGAATACAAGGAGGTGGGACTTGGCACTCCAGCACAGTTCACCGTGAGCCAGAAAGCGGTCCCCAGGAATCAACAAACACCAATCTCGGTGCTGCATGATGTATCAATGGGACGCTGGACCCGGTTTCCAGCAGGTGCCGCTCCCCACCAATAGATGGAGCAGCCCGACAGATAAGCCCTCAATTCTGATGGTTCTCTTACCACCGCCAGGATAGAGGGATTTTTTTTCATTTTTTTTTTGGATAGAGGGCAAAAAAAAAAAAAAAAAAAAAAGGCGGTCTGGCTTTGCCCTCGGATTGTTATATTACATAGACTCGTCACCCGTCCGACAACGAAATATGCGAGATCTTTCGTCGTGCAAAGTGTCCGACCCATAACTTTTTTGGCGCACTAACCTGGTGTTTATAACTCCGGTTTGCTATTACCTGTTTGACCTTCGGGACATCCGTTAAAATTGGAATGGTACAGAGAAGGTTGGCATGGTGCCTGCGCAAGGATGACACGCATAAATCGAGAAATGGTCCAAATTTTTTTCTTGCCCTTTTCCACGTCTTGCACTCTTTGCTGCTGTTCTCTGGGGGCCGTGACCCACTAGCGGGGACTTAGTTTATGTTTCGTGTATTTTCCAACGTGGTCACACTACACTAGGGCCGTTAGATTTTCAGATTGGATGGCAACGAGCCATCCATGCATTCGTGTATTTTCCAACGTGGTCACACTACACTAGGGCCGTTAGATTTTCAGATCGGATGGCAACGAGCCATCCATGTACACTCGAAACCAGCACAGAACCTCCAGAGAAGTGGGACATCGCCCGGGGACCCTTTTCAGGAAGAACCTCAATTTCTGCTCTCTGCTGTGGTTGGGGTTGAAGCACCACACA